ACTGATTTGGCGTATTAGGTTTGAATTTAAATGTTTGCAAAAGGCAGGAATATTAAAAACATTAGCAAGAGCCTTAAAACTTTTGTAAGCCTGGGGAGATAGCCCAGTAGAATAAGTGCTTGCCTGGCAAGTGCAAGGGCCTGAGTTCAATCCCCAGTACAGGAAAAAAAAACCTTTTGTAAGGTGGGCCTTAGAGATAGCTCAGCAGTTTAAAGCACCTATTTAGGCAGACGCAGGGTCCAGGGTTCAATCACTGGCATGCTGTGCTGGCCAGTGCTGGCCGCCTCTGGGGCTTGCTGAGATGGCCATTGAGACTGGGCATGGTGGCCTGCACCTGTAATCCCGGCGCTTGGGAGGCTGATAACAGGAGACTCACTACAAGTCTGATCTACATAGTGAGACCCTGTAGACCCTGTCCTAAATACATTTAAAAAATTTGTATAAGGTTTTCACAACACGTTTGAAGCAGACTATATGTCGGCAGTATCTGCCCCTTTTAATTTATCTTGGAGTTGTTTGTTTTGAGACCGAGTCTCACTGTGTAGCCTGGACTGGCCTCCAGCTCGTGGTGAATCTCCTGCCTCAGCCTCCTGGGTGCTGAGATTGTAGGCATGCACCCCAGGAATCTTGGAGTTTTATCACCTATTCCCAGCATCCTACTCTTCAGAGAGTCCCACCTCTGGCTTTAGTCACACTCAGGGTGTCATGACACCATAACCTGGGGAACTGCCCTTCCACGGAGGTTGGCACATCTGTGTCACAGTAGCAAGCAGTGACCAAGGAGCCTGTGGGCAGCGAAGCCTGAGGATGCGAGGCTGCTTTGGCTCCTCGCCATTGGTGGCCTTGGGCACCCTTGATCTGCTTGTTAAATTAGCATTAGATACTGCAGTCTGGTTGTCCACTCAGTAAGAGTGAGCCTAGAAGTTTCTTCAAGTAAAGCTTGTAGGACAAAGAGCACCAGAAAGCTTTAGGACATGGTGCACACATAGCTATGTGGATTTTAGGATGTTCTTTCAGCTTCTTCTTTTTTTTTTTTTTATTTATTTGTGTGTGTGTGTGTGTGTGTGTGTGTGTGGCCAGCTCAGCCCACCAGGGGGTGGGGCTGGCTGGCATGTGGTGCTGGGGGATTGAACCGCGGTCCCTTTGCTTTGTTCAGCTTGTTCTAAGTAGGTGCTTTAGACCACTGAGCCATCTCACCAGCCCCAACCATCTCACCAGCCCCGTCTTTCAGCTTCTGAATCTTTCAGTTGTGCGTCTGTCTCTTCAAACACGCTGCCCAGCCCAGTAGCTGTAGAGTTCCTGGTTGAGCTGAGGAGAAGCAGTCATTGCCCACCCGACAGATGAGCACGCGGGCCAGGCACTCTCCCTCGATCTTTTTGCTTGTCTGTGGGTCAGGGTCTTGCTATGCAGGTCCGGTTGACCTTGAACTCACTCTCACTCACTGTGTAGCCCAGGCTGGCCTCAAACTCTCAGTAATCTTCCCACCTCAGCCTCCCGAGTGCTGGGATTGCAGGCGTGTGCCACCATGCCTGGCTGTGTCCTTGACGTGTTATCCACTTCACCAGTTGCTCGTTCTGCTCCTCACCAATGCCTGCCTCAGAGGTAAGCAGAGTCTGCTGGGAACCAGCCAGTGACCAGACGCCTCCCGAGACTGAAGCTTTTCCCACTGCAGCCTCCTTAGCCTCCTTAGGTGGGTGCCCCTGGAGTCCCTAGAGTAGGGACCCTGACTGTGGAACCTCAGCAGCCATTGCCCCTCATGCCCTTCTGGCTTCTCTTCTGGGAGGTGGCCCTGACATAATTCGCCACCTTCCTGCTTATATCCACTGCAGATTTTTGTGGCCCTGGTGCTGGGCTTGTCGGTGACGGAGTAGTGCTGGTACAACAAGGCCCGTTTAATTCTGCATGAGCTGAGTCGCTCTCTTCTTGCACTGCAGTGAGCAGGACCTCTAGCGCTGATGGCCACATGGCTGATGGGGCAGATTGGTGCGTGCAGAGCAGAAACTGAAGCGGATGTGCCGTCGCAGTGTCTTGCTGGAAAAGTGCGCAGCTATTAATTTATTAAATACTAGGAAGGGAAGTAGTCTTAACCATTTTATTCTGAAGAGATAGCTTGAGCCCTCAGGATTAACCTCATCCTCCATCTGCCATCTCTAGGGAAAGAGAAGGTAGTTGGCGCTCTGTAGGACAGGATGTGTGCTGTGAAATGTGGGTTGCAGGACCAAGGGAATCCACCTCCAGCCTTTAGGACAGAACTTGCTTGCTAGGTTCCCCTAATAATCCCTGGCGTAATATTTGGGGGGGTGTGGCCAGGAAACAAGGAAATCATTGATTTCCGGGTGCGCAACACTTTCGAGCCCCTGAGCGCTTTGGGGGTAATATTAGGTCCAGGGCCCTGGATGTGTTTGGAACAGAGGCAGCACTTTCTAATGGTTCTAAAGGAAGGGTTCTCATGCTCGCCTCCGCCGGGCCCAGAATGTATTTCATTTTAGCAAGTGATGGAACTCAGGTAACAGCGGGTCTCTACCCCCTCCTAAGGCCTGGAGATTTCTCACCTGAACTGGATAAGAGCACTCATGCAGGAAGACCCGCAGGTAATTACCAGGACTGCGCTTGGGCGCGTGCATGGGAGGACTCCAAGGGCCTACTGTGTGCCTGCAGGCACATCTCCATCTCAATTTTACAACATTAAAATAGAGCAGCCTTTATTTCTCTATTTTGCACAACATGCGAGGGTGAGGGAAGTTAAAGCACTCAAAAGTCCCAGCCAGAGAGCAAGCGCTCGTTTTGGAATTTAAATCCAGGTGGAGGCAACCACAAAGCCCACCCTCTGCCTAAAACTGTGCCTGGCGCATAGTAGGTGTGCAGTGAACGTTTCACAAGGCCAGGCACCATTTTCTCCTGGGATGCCTGCACAACTACAGGACAGACAGGAACCAGGCCCGCCGCCCACCGAGAGGCCGCGGCGGCGCAGGGGCCGGGACCGGACCCGGCACCTCCCCTGGCCTGGGCCCGCGGGCGGGCGGGGCCGGCGCCCATTGGCTGGCGCGTGCCAGAGGGCGGGGAGCGGCGCCGAGGGGACTGTTTGCTCCTACGGGCTGTAGATGGAGCTGTCCCGCCCCAGCGAGGGGGAAGGCGCCTGGAAAACGTTCTTCCTCTGCCTGGCCGGCCCGAGCGGGGAACAGCGCTCCCAGGATGCAGTTTGTGTCAACACGGCCGCAGCCTCAGCAGCTGGGCATCCAGGGCCTGGGGCTGGACAGCGGGAGCTGGAGCTGGGCCCAAGCGCTGCCCCCAGACGAGGTCTGTCACCAGGAGCCGGCGCTGCGCGCGGAGATGGCCGAGGGGATGCCGCCCATGCAGGTGGGTGCAGCGCCCGTCGCCGCCGCCGGCGCCATGGCCGCTCGTGGG